TGTCACTCTAAAATCTCCAATTCTACGCCCGATAATTTTATTTCCCTATTTATTTGCATCCAACTTCCAAGGGCTTTGATTTCCCTGAATCTTGGATGTAATCTTCACTTTAGTTGTAAAACTCAACATAGTTTAACAATTCAATTGACTAGATTGAAGTGAAAAGATCATCACAACTTCTTTAACATTTTTAATGCTCAACTAATTCAAATCACCATTTCACAAATCTCAAGATAAGGAGAAAGACAGAAAACTACTCAGATCTCATGGGGAAGACAACAAAACTCGAAATTTATATATAAAAGCAAAGTCATACAAACTACAACAAGTAAATAACACTTATCTCTAATTCCTCCATAAGCAAACTCCTCGAAGTTCGTCTGAATCTCTTCCTTTCTTTACAATACACAGAATTCTTCTTCGAAGCGACAATGAGTAAGAAATCTCTCACTTTCTCTCCACTCTTACAATCTTTCGGAGAATTCCTCACAATCTAACCCTAAATTAGACTCTCTACACACTACTGGGGCTCTTGGATGTTGTTCGAACCTTCGAACTCCTCGAACTCCCTTTCAATTTTCAGCCAAAATCTTCTTTTAAAGTTGTAGAAAAATTTTTCCAAGAGTTGCCTAAGCATCCCTCCAAAAATCATCCATATTCAATGCACATGTTGAGATAACCGTCAATCTCGCTGTCGGCGGCCTCGAGGGCGTCGTCGGCGGGCCTTCTAAAATATTTGGCTAGAGTCTCGAGAAAATCTCGCAGTCGGCGCCGTTGGCCCGGCGCCGTTGGGCTCGCCGTCGGCGCCCTAGTTCAAATCTTCATATTTTGGTCTTTTTCGATCCAAATTTGCTTTTTTTTGCATTTTTTTGTTCCAATGACCATAATTCCTTCAATTGGCTAGATTGAGAGTAAATTAAGATTGAAGTGAAAAGATCATCACAACTTCTTTAACATTTTCAAAGCTCAACTAATTCAAATCACCATTTCACAAATCTCAAGACAAGGAGAAAGACAGAGAAAACTACTCAGATCTCATGGGGAAGACAACGAAACTGGAAATTTATATATAAAAGCAAAGTCATACAAACTACAACAAGTAAATAATACTTATCTCTAATTCTTCCATAAGCAAACTCCTTGAAGTTCCTCTGAATCTCTTCCTTTCTTTACAACACACAGAATTCTTCTTCGAAGCGACAATGAGGAAGAAATCTCTCACTTTCTCTCCACTCTTACAATCTTTCGAAGAATTACTCACAATCTAACCCTAAATTAGACTCTCTACACACTAATGGGGCTCTTGGATGCTGTTCAAACCTTCGAACTCCTCGAACTCCCTTTCAATTTTCGTCAAAATCTTCTTTTAAAGTTGTAGAAAAGTTTTTCCAAGAGTTGCCTAAGCATCCCTCCAAAAATCATCCACATTCAATGCACATGTTGAGATAACCGTCGATCTCACTGTCGACGGCCTCGAGGGCGTCGTCGGCGGGGCTTTTTAAATATTTGGCTGGAGCTGGAGTCTCGAGAAAATCTCGCCGTCGGCGCCGTTGGGCTCGCTGTCGGCGCCCTAGTTCAAATCTTCACATTTTGGTTTTTTTCGCTCTAAATTCGTTTTTTTTTGCATCTTTTTGCTCCAATGACCATAATTCATCATACCTGCAACAAAACATCAAAAATATCATTCTTTAAAGTGTAATATCATCAAAATCAGTGTAAAATAGGTATGAAAATCTCAACATATTTTCCTTTGGTCAATTTCACATTTAATAAACTTTCTAGAAGGGTCGTAGCACCAAATGATCAGGAGGCTAAAGAAATGAAATGAGGCTTGAGATCCTCTCATATAAAAAAATCTTTTTTCCCCATCCTTTATTTTTCGTCTGTATCCTTCTATAGCATAATATAACAAAGTGATGCATGTTAGCTGATGAAACACCCAAAGGAAGATGCCATAATTTGCATAACATTCTGAACTTATGGACAAAAAAATTGCTCAAATAATAAATTAATTTGCAGGCATATATAACATATGTTAGCATAAGCAAACTGTTATCCAGTTTAGACGTAAAACGATAAACAAATTGACCATGAGAGCCTGTATATTTTTCATGTCAAGGAAAAGCATGTTGCTAATGCAACGTTGGTGTTTAGTTCTTGACCAAGAATGTTGTTCATGATATGTTCCTATATAAAGATTATTCCTTAATACTATCACATTTCAGAAGAATTAAATCCAAATATAGAGGAAAAGTTGAAACATAATAAACGGGAGAATAATTCTGCAAGAGCTAACCTTATTGCCAATGTAACCCATGACACCTACACCAACGCTAGAAACTTTCAAATTTTGAATATGTTTTCGGAGGCTTCTACGAACCCAAATTGAAAGATAAATCCCAACCATTTGCTTGCTTATGATTCTCACAAAAGATGACCTTTTCTTTTTCTTTGCAGTATCATCTCTCTTTAACTCAACTAGCAAGCCTGATCCAGCAAAATCCCTGCAATTCTGGTTGGATGACTTGAGATAATTGGGATTTTTGTAAGACTTGAAAGTATTTGAAGTATCTAAGGAAAGTGGAGCAAATATGTCAAGTGGCTGCTCTGGCCATACTAACCCAATCCTCTCAGAGCTGCTAAAGGATTTGATGAGTCTTTTTTGTTCGGTGGTTGAAGCTTCTAATGCTATTCTATGGCTTTTAAAACTTGAACAATGGGATTCGTTAAACACCCTTTGTGAGAACAGGGGTTGATGGCCCAAATCTTGTGATCCAACCAAATTGGTATTTGTAAAGTTAGAACTTGTATGTACACTTAAATTAGCATCACCGGTTGTGCAACTATAAGAACTCGATTCAAAATCAAGAGGAACCACGTCCAGTGGATGGATTTCCTCATCAGTGTCATCATCACTCACTTGTAGTAATGCATCTTCCATGCCCAGAGTATCATCTGTTGATAGGAATCTTGATGGTGAAGGGGGATCACTGTAACATTTATATTTCAGTTTAGCCGGTTGAATCTTATTCAATGTCTGACGAATAAGATATTCCCATCTTGGAACAGGCCTGGTGTCCTCCGCACCAAATATGTTGCCTGCATTCAAAGGAACAATCTCCTGCAAACTACAGGAAAGATAGATGTGACAAATTGTTCATTACAACCTCTGATCGCATAAATGTCAAAAAAAACTGAGACTTGTCACTTAAATAAATTAAGGTCAAGAGAAAAAAAAATCAATTGATCAACTATCATTTAAAGGTTAAATTTTCAAAAAGGAATACATTGCATGATTCTAAAATGAAATTTCCAGAAAAAAAAAGTTACTTATATAGTGTGATGTTATGCTTATAAAAGCAAAACAAATTTTCAAAACTTTAAAGGGCTACTGGAACTGCAGATGATATCAAAGAATCAAATAGAGGAAATGCAACACGCTAAAGCAAGATAGAAGCCATATAAATAATTCAAGATTACGCATTAACATTGACATGCCTTCTTTAAACCTTATTGGATGAATTTGTCACGAGTAAAATTTTGAACTAAAGTCTCTATAAGCATAAGGAAGCAGGCATAAATTACATTCTCATTACAAATCTTTCATCATTAAAATATTGGGTGAAAATGATAACAACCAACACTAAGGTTAAAGATTAATAAAGCAACACCTAGCCTAATGCTCAGATAAGGATGAGAACATTCAGCATTGATGTTAAGAGATGGCCATAAGTCTCGTAGGCATAAATTTACTAAATTCCCCTTCTAAGGTGGTGTTTCCAGCATATTTTTCCAAATACGTTTATAATAGCATAATTGTGAAATTTCTCTCCAATGGTCTGGCCTATTAATTATATCCACATTCTTGAAAAATACAACAATATAAACTTTCAAATTATCTAGTGTTGGAATTCAGATGCTAACTTTGAATTTTATTACTTTGAAATGGTAATATGCAAATTACTTCAAAGATCTTGCATAAAACTAAAAGCTTGTATGATAACATTCTGATTTTGTTGAATTTCCATAAATCCAAAACTTGTATCATAAAAAAATTACCCCAGCACATATATATCAGCAGGCTCCTCCATGTCGAGCCAGTCCTTCATATCAAGATCATCATGGGGAAGTTTACCACCAACATTCCAGGTCCCCACACATATCCTGAGTAAAAGAAGTCATCGCTGAGAAGGAAATAAAACCAGGCTAGATTAGCAACTAAACAGCCAAACAATCATGCCTAAGTTCCTTGGTATTTATATATTGTGCACGAAGGGTCTCGGATTTTCTTCTTTGCCTCCAAAATGGAATTCCGTCAATGTGATTTCCTGAAAAAAGTATGTAAAGTTAATATAACAAAAAACGTTGGTGCCATGAATTTAGATTCTTCTCATGCATTGGAAGTTTCATTCCTTCGGTATAAAAATCTTCATTGTGGAGGATACGTGATAAAAAAAAAAGGATTGACCAAATCCATAAGACTTCCCACCAATCTAATGTAGGATCTAAGGAGAAATTGATGGGTGCAGCCTTATGCTTGCATCACAAATGTTTAGCTTCCTTCCACAGGCATCTTATAAAAAATTAGTTCTTTTTATTGGCTCAACTATATGGATCCAATTTTAGGCGAAATAGATAACACAATCCAGCTAATGGGAACAATCACCATCTGATTTAGCCCCAAGCTCACCTATTCCCCTCTCCTCGTCACGTAATTGGCGCTCCCATTGACACATCTCTGGAGAAAATCATCACATCAAAACTTAGTCCACAAGAGCATTAGAACCCCATAATTGCAGAGGATTCTCCAAAATAATAATAATAACAATAAATAAATAAATAACTCAAGTTCCACCGATTTGAAGTGCAAGTATGACATGGAAAAGTGGAGTAAAAATAAAGAAAAAGAAAAAAAAACTAAGGGAATAAAGAAAACCAATGCAGATGAGTCTCAGAGAAATGAAAGAGACAGAATAGCAGGTAGAGTAAATAAAGGTTAAACACAATATACACATATCCAAAAACAAGCAAATTGGAAAAACAGTTAACATATCCAATCAGACCAATCAAAATCAATAATTTACCAAAAAAAAACAATCAGCGCCCATGGGCAGAATGTCAGAACAAAATTCAATAAAAACTGAGAACAAATCCAACACGGAATCGGAATGAAAACTATTCAGCTCGTGACGATACATAAGACAATATTTTATCGTTTGCTTCCTTCATCACTGACCTTCAAATTCGAAATCGCTCTCGGTGGTTTCCCCGTCGTCAGCACTAAAGTCGGAGTCCTTGGAGTTGAGCCATTTCCGCAGCACGATCTTTGGCCATAGCTGTAGGCAGGTGCAACGTAAACAAAGGAGTTCAGCCCAATTTGTCTGCAGTTTTCTAGAAATCAATAGAAACCAAGAAACGAATAACCACGAACAACTAGAAGAGCTCCTCCTCCGAAATGGAAATTCAATCGGATTTCTTTATTTCAAGAACAAGTTTCCTACCTTCTTCTGCTTCCCAGATCTCGACCTCATTCGGAAAAACAACTATAAGGAAGAGCTAACCTCACTTCTCCTCTTCTATACTTGTCCCCGCAAGCGAGACCCCGAGCGAGCATAAAATAAAAGCGAGGGCCCCGGCTCATCCCCAGCGACAGCATTTACCGCGTGAAACAAGCCGCCGAAATCAAGAACAGGACGGCGGTAGGTGAGAACGAAGGTCTCTCTCCCCCACCACCCATTTGTGTTTTCCTTGAAATGAAAAATCAGCAATCAGGTGAAGCTATGAGCATTAGTGCTGCAGCAAAATGGCTCGTTGTTCTCCAAACAGCACATGTTGGGTTCTGTAAGTAGTATTAGTTGCCTTTGCCAAGTAAGTCAGCCCAATATTTGACTTATTTTGGTTTTAATTAATTAATATATAAATAAGCCCAAACAGCTTTACTGCACAGGAACAGAATGAGCATTTATCTAAAAACAACTGCAAAATAATTATTTGAGCCCAAACAGCATTTATCTAAAAACAACTGCAAAATAATTATTTTCTAAGAGCACAAATCAAACAATCAACCAATTTATCTGGATCAGCTGCTGACCGATAGCTTATCTGGATCAACTGATTATCATCAGCTTATTAATAAGTTGCAGCTATCACAAGCAAATCCTAACTCTGTTTCTCTTGGTCCTCTCTTAAGCATGGTACTAGTCTTTTACTCCAAGGTACTCATGCTCGTATCATATTTCTAGTATAGACTCTATCCTAAAACTTTAAAATACATAATACAACAACAACAAACCTTTATTCCACAAAGTGGGGTTGGTTACATGAATCGTTTTTCTTCATTGTGTCATATTGAGCGCATACTTTTATTCAATTCTAATAAATTAAGATCATCTTTTGTACAACATGCCCAAGTCTTTTTAGATCTACATTTACCTTTTACATCATAATTTTAATCTAAAACATCTACTCGCATAATTGGAACATCAGATGGTCGACGTTTAATGTGACCAAACCATCTAAGATGACTCACTCTAATATTGTGTCATTAAAGCTACACCAACCCTTTCATGGATAAATTCATTTTGCATTTTGTCTATAAAACTGAAGTCACTCATCCACCTAAGCATTATGTTCTCAACAACATTTAACTTAGTTTTATGCTTCTCTTTTATAGGAAAATATTTTGTTAGGTAATGTGGAGACCCGGTCCACCGAATTTAATTAGCTTCTTAATTAAGTATCCCACCCACATCCCACCTACCGCTCACCTACCTCCCACCTATCACTCTCATGGTTTCTATAAATAATCTCTTTTGGTTTAAAGGATAAGCAAAGCCAAGCAAAGTCAAACAAGGCCAAGCAAGTCATCTTGAGATCTAAGAGAAAAAGAGGAAGCGAGAGAGAGAGGAAGCGAGAGAAGAAAATAGAGATTTTCTTGTAAACGTCGAGGCGCTCGACAGTGTAATTCCTCGAAGTAGTAAAGTTCGTTGCAGCTCCGTGGACGTAGGCAATTTTGCCGAACCACGTAAATCTGTGTGTCGCTCTGGTGTTTTTCTACGTGCAATTTTTTCTCGTTCCATTTTTCGCTTTATTGTCGTTGTTTTTCACAACACATTTTGCATCATAAAGTATTGTAAGTCTCAAAACCATCTTATAAAATTTTCATGTAAGTCTAAGCGGTAATTTTCTATCACACAATAAGCTTGATGCATTCCTCCACATCCCCGCCTCTATCATCATCACTTTGAAGAATAAACCCAAAATATATAAAATATTCACTCCTAATGATTTGATCGTCCATTATTACAACTCTGCCACTCATCTACTACTAAAATTAGATTTCATGTATTCAACTTCAGTTTTACTCAAATGAAAGCATTTAGACTCTAATGTAGACCTTCATAATTCAAGTATATCCCAAACTCTTTCTCCAGTCTTATCCACGTGAAGGATATCATCAGTGGAAAGCATCACCAAGATACATTCTCCTATAAATGTTCAGTAAGTGCATCCATAACTAAAGCAAAAGAATATGGGCATAAAGATGACCGCTGATGTTATCCAACTGAAATAGGAAAATACTCTGTCATTCATCTTTCTATTCAAATACTAGTAATAGTTCTAATATACGTATGTTTAATGCCTTGAATATAAGTCACATCAACACCTTTATTTTCTAGAACTCTCCAAAGAACTTTTTTTTGAACTTTATCGTAAGCTTTTTCTAAATCAATAAATATCATATGTCGAACCTTCTTATTCTCTATGTACTTTTTCATCGTACCTCTCAATAAATGCATATCTTCCATAGTAGACTTGCCCGACATAAATCCAAACAGATTATGAGAAATCTTTGTATCACCCATATTTTTAATGTATGACACATCAATTTAATTCCTCTATAATTTGCACACTCATGTACATCCCCTTTACTATTCAAATTGGGGACCAAAATACTCTTCCTCCACTCCTCTTGCATCTTTTTTGTTTTTATAGATAATACTAAAAAGTTTAGTAAGCCAAAAAAATTCCAAATCTTTTAAATATTTATACACTTCTATTGGGATATTTTAAGGTCCTACTGATTTTTCAACCTAGATTTTCTTTAAAGCCTCCTCAACCTTCTTTTTACTAATATGATAGTTAAGATAAAAATGTTTTATTATTATTAATGATATTAACATCACCAAGTTCGATCATATTTTCAAGAACTTTGTTGAAACGTTTATCAAAATATCTCACCCACCTATGTTGATGACTTTTTGATTTTCATCATTAATATAATTTACTTGAATTAAATTTTTACTTTTATTTCTCTTTGTTTGTCTAATTTATACATATATCTTTCGCCATCTCTCAAATTGAATTTACTATCAAGACCACTAAAAGAAAAATTTTTAGCCTCACAAATTGTTTTCTTAAACTCTTTACGAGCCAATCTATATTCCTAGCTCTCTGAGCTTTTACATTTAAACCAATTTTTATAACAATTCTTATTATATTTTACCTTTTCTTATACATTATTATTCTACCACTTATTTTATTTAGAAATTTTTTTCCATTTGATTCTCCAAGTACATCTTGTTACTTTATCCCACACAGAATTAGTTTCTTCATGAACATCTCAAATCTTAAAATCTTGAAGTTTACTTTATAAAAATAATTTGTGTGTTTTTTAGGTGCCCCCATATATTTCTTTGACAATGTCTCATTGAATAATTTTGTCTTTGAACTCCTCATCTTAAAATCCATAACTAATAATCAATGTTGAGTACTTCAATTTTTATTTAGAATGACCTTACAATCTTTAAATTCTCAGCAAACTCTTTTTCTTAATTTATGTTTCATTTGATCCATTATTATAAGTAATAATATGTTCATCTCTTTTCTTAAATAAAGTATTAACAATAACAAAATCATATGTTAAAACAAAATAAAATATGATTCTATCTTTTTCATTAATCACTCCAAAATCATAGCAAACATGAATATTTCTAAAATCTTCTGTCATTCTACCAAAACGTTCATTTAAAACACATAATAAATTAAGAAAATAAAAGACTCAATTACCTACAAAATAAGATTTAGTAGACAAGTCTATAAAACATGCAAATGTATAATGAAGCATGTTTTATGGGGGAATTACTTAACAAGAATGTGCAATAATCAACATTTTATTATAATTTTAGTTTAAAAATTATTTGAAATATGATTATGATTAATAATATTAATAAAATAATTTTTTGTTTAAAATCAAGACATTACATATGATCTAAATAGCCACGATGTAGTATTTTAGATCACTTAAACATTTAGCACAATCATACAAGTATAATTATAATGAAAAAAGTTTGCATTGTTCAATGAGTCATTTTTATAAATAGTGATCATTGAAAATTATAGTCAAAGATTAGATCTCTCATCAAAAAGGGAATATTTCCATCAAGGTTTTGACCTCTACATTCTACATGAAATTGACATGTTATGTGCACCTCAAAAGGTGGCAATGAGGATATATGAAGCAAACAAAAAGGACTCTACAATATAATTGAAATTCCATTTAAACGTTATGATTCACTTGGTCGCGCCCCTTTTTGCTCTAGCTTGAATGACCTTCTTAGCAATTATCCCTTTTTCCAAATCCTTCATTTTAAGTCAACTCCTCTTATAAAAGCTAAGGAAGAAAGAAAAGAGAATAAAAAATGGACAAAAATTGATAAGAAATAAAAAGAGTTGTTATAAAGATATTTATATAGAAAACTCCTCATAGCAAAACTAGAGAAGAGCAGTCAAAAGTAACTCGGGCCTTACTCAACGAGATTTTATATGAGCAAGTCCCTATAGGAAAAACCAAACTAAATTACAATTTTTTTCTTAATTTTTTTTGGGTTCAAAGAGACCTCTTATGACGATTTATCCTAACACGAGAAAAGTTAATGCATTTGCTTAAATATTTCTAAGACATAGATTGCGAGGAAAATGCTCCAACCATCAGATTAAAACTAGGCCGCCAAGTAGAGGGTGAATCCCTGTAATCTGGAGGGTGGTTGTTACTTAGCTTAGAGGGCCTATAGTACTTGTCTATGAAATACAAAATAAAGAAACAATTGTGCACAAGTAGAGATAAATTAATAGGTAGATTGGAGAAAAACCTAAACGAGTAAAGATAGTCTGGCCGGAGCATCATAGACCAGTCCTCTCGGACTATTGGGATTTTGAATCTACTAAACCGACAAGGTAGTTAACCTATTTCATTGTGGATCACTTTAACAGCAACTCATGGTTATATCATCCAAAGAGATCTAGTAGATCCAAAGTGAAAGGAAAGAAACATTTAAGCTTCCATGACTTCATCTTTTTACTAAAAAAGGTATATTAAATATTTTACCTGACAAGGGTATGGACAAAAAGCTTACATAAAAAGGAGAAGGAACATATGACTCAACTACAAAGCTAAGCCACTCACAAAGAGGTTATAATCACTTATGAATGGTGAAATTATTTAATACCTAACATTAGATTAGATAAGCACCTAATCATATAAAATGTATGTCGGGCAAGTCGGTTTGGAAAACAAGAGTAATTTCCTCAGGAAATATGAATATATATATATATATATA